AAACGCCTGTTAGTAGATCAAGGTCTGTGTGTTGACCTTTAGGAGCGTTTTCTGGATGAGTCTAATGGGGTGTCACGTCCTGGCCCCAGAGTCCATCGTTTGTCTTCCCTTGGGACCTCCTTGCTCTGCTTCCCTGCCGCTCAGCCATCATTCTTTTGAAAACATTGTCTTTCTATTTGAGCCCTTGGTATCAGCTCCTCATTTTTTCCCTCTCTCCCCTACCCTCCCAACCTCATGAACCCTTGATAAATTATAAATTATTGTTATTTTGATAACTTTACAGGATTTTAAAAGCCTTGATATTTCGGAAGCAGAATGTCAGGCCACTTCTGTAATACCTCTGGGTGGTGGTGGGGTGTTTGAATCACCAACCTTTTGGTTAATAGTCCAACACTTAATCATTTGTGCCACTCAGCGACTCTCCTGAAGTAATCTTAGTAATGTTCTATTTTTTAGATTGAAGGATATTTGCTATGGAAGGATAGCTCGCTATTCGTTTTATTATTCCAAATATCCTACACATCTTAAGTTTGTCATCAAATGTATTCGTTCTTCCATGTGAAATACTTCAAAATTAAAAGGTCAAAAGTAAGTTTCATTATAGGAAATTTACAGAACACAGGATAGAACAAATAATCACCACTGTCGAGATCTTACTAATTTCCCTTTGGCATTTTTTCCTAATTGTACACAGAAATAATGCACATTAACACAGAGGAATTTTTGCTGCTGTTTGATTTTACAAAATTGAGGCTACATAAATCATTTTTCTTACAGAAAGTTGTCTCATTGACAACTTCTCTCCTCAAAAATGCTTTAAACTTATCATCTTCAGCACCTGCACATTCCTATGGATCTCTATGCTGTTTCCCCTCAGCTCGGGGGTGAGGGCCCTTGTGGAGGAGTGTGGCGCCCAGCCCAGGGAGGCACTTCTCAGAGCAGACAAGGACAGGAGCCCTGATGGGCCTTGGCTTGCTCCTTTACCAGTGGTACCACCTTGGGTGAGTCAGTTAAACCTCTATGTCAGCCTCACATGCACCCCCTGACAGGGGATTATTAGGAGGCCACCGAGTTGTTATATGGACCATAAGAAAATCTAAGTGAGGCTGCTCTGACCGTTTCCACAGGAGAAATTACTGGGATTACCTGACCAAAGCTTTTTTTAAAATCCTCTAAACCTTTTTCATGTTCTCTAGAACCTTGGGAGGCAAATGTGCTCCTCTGTTCTGCAGCAGTAGTAACACATCACCTGGGAGCCTGTGAGAAACGCAGATTCTCAGGTCCCATCCAGATTTTGAATTAGAATTTGCATTTTCACAAGGCCCAGGTACTACTGTAAGGTGCATTAAAGCACTCGCCCTAACCAGTGGCAGACCTTGCAGAGTGCCCCTTCTATTACACTCTTCACAACACAATATTTTAATTTAAAACATCGTGGTCGTGTGCATTTGCTTAAAAACAACAACAAAATCTTCTGGGTTTAGTCACGCGAAGGAAGAAGCCTGAATATTCAGGGAGAAGTGGAGTTTATGTACATGTCTCTGGTCTTTATGTTGAATCCACTGTTGACTTGGGTGACTCTCGAGTCCAGGCTATTTATTTCTAAGAGAATCTAGAAAGGATTTGAATCTCAGAGTCCTGTTGTCCAATTCCCATTTGGGTTTCTTATTATTTTTCCTGGTACTAAAGTTAAGTTGACTTGTCGTTTTTCTGAATTATATTGTGCACATGGCTACAATTCAGGAGGTAAACTGTCTTCAAAGTAATTAAAACTCTTTACCTGCTCTATAAATCATTTTATTGACCATTTATTTGAACATTCAGCTTGTTAAAGTCAACTTAATGATATCCTTTTAATTCCATCTTCACCTTACATTCAGCTAGTCAACTATCGCATAATTATACTTGCTAAGTCCCAATTCAGTTTAAGCACAGCTGTTGCGGTTCTTTTCTTTGTTATCTAATATGATTCAAACAAATTGGCAAAAGTATTTTCTGGATTTTTTTTCATCATATTTTATTTCAGTGACTTAGTACTGCAGTTTGCATTCTGGATAGCATTAGATTTAGTTGGTTCTCAACCTTCCTAATGCTGCGACCCTTTAATACAATTCCTCAAGTTCTGGTGACCCCCCCCACCCCACCCCCGCAACCACAAACTTATTTTCGTTGCTACTTGTAATTTTGCTACTGTTATGAATTGGGCGACCCCAGTGAAAGGGTCATTCGACCCCCAAAAGGGGCCTTGACCCACAGGTCGCGAACCACTGGGTTGGATAGACCAGTCCTCTGGTCAGTTCTGATTCAAGGTAACCCCGGGTGTGTTCCATGGGGTTGTCCAGGGCTGGATTTTCAGAAGCAGACCAGCTGGCCTCACTTTCAGGACATTGCTGGGTAGACATGAACTACTAAACTGTAAGCAGTGGAGCAAGTTAACTGTTCACATCAGTTACTTTTTATTAATTTCCTGTGCATTTATGTGGGTAGAATTGCTTGCTACAGAAGTATGGGTTGTTCTCACAAAACTCTTCCTATTACTTTTATGGCTGACTTTCATTTATCTTTTTAAAAAACATACTTCCTTTTATTTCTGGTTATGTAAATACTACTTATAATCGGGCTGGTAAAATTTTCCACTTGGTCTTTAAACATTAAGTGTCAAGTGCCTTCACTAATTTTCTCCATCTTTTTGTATTACTGGAGTAGCTTCAACTACTTGAGCCACTTTCATTCAGTACCTGCTTGGCAAGTATTTACTGAGCAGGTAATATGTGGCAGGTCCTGGAGATGCTACGGTGTACACAATACACATGATCTGTATTATCTTGAGGGAAAGGCAGGTAAATATTAAACAACTAACTGTAGTGCAAGGTGTTGGTGCTGGCAGAAGTGGCAGTACAGGATGCCATAGGCCTGCCGAGTAGGGGGCACCTCATTTAGACTGGGACGATCAGAGGAGGCCTATCAAGGAAGTGATACCCAAGGATAACCAAAACCAAATTCAGTGCCACTGAGTCCATGCCGATGCACAGCAACCCTACAGGACAGGGCAGAAATGCCACTGTGAGTTTCCAAGATGCATCAGCAGCCCAATGTGTACCCACTATGTCACCAGGGCTCCTACCCGAGGATAAGCAGGAGTTTGTTTGATGAAGGAAGTGGCAGAAAAGTACATCCTAGATTGAGGAAACACCTCATGTAAAAACCTAGAGTTCCAAGAATAGGCAGAGTATTTGAGGTACTTAAAGATCATCACGATGCCTGGACTGTACAAATACAAAGCAGAGAATGGTGAGGAGATGAAACAGGAGAAGCAGAAGCCAAGATCCCATAAAGAACTGAGAGCAAATGTGAATTAAGGGCAAATAACAGAACCCTGATGGCATATTGGGCTGCTAAGCACAAGGTCAGCAGTTTGAATTCAACCAGCCGCTCCGCAAGGAAAAAACTAAGGCGTTCTGCTCTCCTAAAGACTTACAGCCCCAGATAAACAATCTGGAGGAGAAAATAACGAAACCATTGGTTCCAGGGGGACATGGGAGAAGGGGAGGCGGGGGAAAGGAAGTAGGTGTTAACAAACCCAGGGACAAAGGAACAACAAAATCAATGGCAAGGAGGGTGGAGGAGACCTGGTAGGGCTTGATCAAGGGCAATGTAACCGAGAGGAATTACTTAAACCCAAATGAAGGCTGAACATGATAGGGGGACAAGAGGAAAGTAAAAGGAAATAGAGAAAAGAACCAGGAAGTAAAGGGCATTTATAGAGGTCTAAATACAGGCATGTACATATATAAATATATTTATATATGATGTTGGGGAAATAGATCTATGTGCATATATGTATAGGTTTAGTATTAAGGTAGCAGATGGACTTTGGGCCTCTATTCAAGTACTCCCTCAATGCAAGAACACTTTGTTCTATTAAACTGGCATTTTATGATGCTCACCTTCCCAACACAATCACAAAGTGGATGCATAAGCAAATGTGGTCAAGAAAGCTGATGGTGCCGGCTATCAAAAGACATAGCATCTGGGGTCTTAAAGGCTTTAAGATAAACAAGCGACCATTTAGCTAAGAAGCAACAAAGCTCACAAGGAAGAAGCACACCAGCCTGTGTGATCACGAGGTGTTGATGGGATCAAGTATCAGGTATCAACGAACAAAAAATCATATCATTGTGAATGAGGGGGAGTGCGGAGTGAAGACCCAAAGTTCATGTGTAGGCAACTGGACATCCCCTTACAGAAGAGTCGCAGGGAAGAGATGAGCCAGTCAGGGTGCAGTATAGCACTGATGAAACATACAACTTTCCTCTAGTTCTTTAAGTCCCCCCACAACTATCATGATCCCAATTCTACCTTACAAATCTAGCTAGACCAGAAGATGTGCACTGGTACAGATAGGAACTGGAAACACAGGGAATCCAGAACAAATGAACCCCTCAGGACCAATAATGAGAGTAGCGATACCAGGAGGGTAGAGGGAGGGTGGGGTAGAAAGGGGGAACCGATCACAAAGATCTGCATATGACCCCCTCCCTGGGGGGCAGGCAACAGAAAAGTGGGTGAAGGGAGACGTCGGACAGTGTAAGACATGAGAAAAATACTAATTTATAAAGGGTTATCAGGTTTGTGAGGGAGAGAGGGCAGGGATGGAGGGGAAAAAATGAGCTGATACCAAGAGCTCAAGTAGAAAGAAAATGATTTGAGAATGATGATGGCAACAAATGTACAAATGTGTTTAACACAATGGATGTATGCATGAACTGTGATAAGAGTTGTATGAGCCCCCAATAAAATGATTTAAAAAAAATTAAATCCCCTCCCCTCAAAAAAAAAAATTGACAGCCCCAGAGAGGGCAGTTCGACTCTGTTATATAGGGTCACTATGAGCCAGAGTTGGCTGGATGGTAGTGAGTTTGGGTGGTGATGTTTTTTTTGTGGAGAGGTAAGTGATGAAGTCAAATTTGAATCTGACAAGGACTGCACTATAGACAGTGAATGCAAGGAAGAGGGGAGGTAGAAATCCCACTCGGGAGGCCACTGCAGGGTACTCAGTAAGAAATGGTAGATGGTAATGGCCTGGCAGATGGAGAGAAAGAGACAGAGTTCAAGGATACTTAAAAGAAAGAATTGACTAGGCTTGGATGAGGTGGGTGAGATGTAAGTGAGGAGAACAAGAATGGGAATAACTCCTATAGCTTTGGTTTGAGCAATGAGGTAAAATCACAGCCATTTTGAAGGCAGGGAATAGGGTAGGAGGAGAGCTTTAAGGGGATAGGTCCAGTTTTGTAGGTATAATTTGAAGTTTTTAAAACCATTGAGCTGGGGTCCCACAGGGCAATTAAAGAAATAGATCTGAAAGGCCAAAAAGAGCTGAGCAGGGTATGCAGTTGATGAGTATCAGCGTAAGTGACGGTGAGACAGCCTGGGACCATGTCTAGAGAGAAAGCAGAGGCCAAGACAGAAACCTGAGCACCACCAGTGCTCCCTTTAACATGTACAGGCAAAGGGCAGCAGTGTGAGAGAGACCAACCAGACGGGATCAGCGGCATTCCCCACTTTCCTTTCTGACGTCTGTTCTTGCTCCAACAGCCATGCTGTCCTGAAAGTCCGCCCAGAGGGGGCCGCTTCTCCCTGTTCCTTAGATGCACACAATTATAATAAATTCTTATCAGGCCACCACATCCACTCTCCTCTCACTGGTACTCGATGAACATGTCTCCCCAAGGTGTTTTCCTCTGCTCCTCCTGCCATCCTTCCTGGCCTCCCAGGCCAGTCACCAGTCATGACCAAGAGGGAAAGAAAATCACAGTTGTAACCTCAAACTACGTCCCTTGTCAAACTAAGACAGGAAAAATGCTTAAAAGATCTACTTCCCCTTACCATTAAAAAAAAATATGCAAAAAACTGTAATCTCAATCCAGAATATATGTTAAACAGTATCTTAGAAATCCTGTTTGAATCGTGGGTATAAATCATTGTACACAATCCAAGTTTCTGGCTTTAATTATCTACATTTGACTCTTAAAAAGATTACTTTTAGAGATCCAATGACGTTTCCACCTATGTTTCATATCAGTTGAATATTTAAAATGAAATTACTTACGTTGTTCTTCTAAAATCTTTTTGAAGTGTGGGGTATTCTGGCATCTTTCTAATATCTTCCCAATCTTTATCTTACGAAACAAACACACACACAAAATCAAATTGTTATAGAAAATACAAAAATCACCTAATTATGCTTGCTTTAAAATATACTTACAAAATATGCTGGATTTTGAAAAGGAAAACCAATTACCTGCAGGAAATCCCATGACACTAAATATTCGATCTAGTTGATCATGATGAAAAGGATTGCTTGTTTTTATATCTTCCTGACGACAGTGAAAAATAGGTTCTGAAGTTAGCAATTCGGCAAATATGCAGCCGATTGCCCATATATCTATGAAAGAAGAACAAGTTTTTGTACACATTTATTAATTTCTTTGGTTATATTTCTATATATAGTTACAACCAAAATATAAGAATACTTTGAATGAATTAATGTATAAGGTTCATTATTCATAAGAGAATATATATATATATATGACATGAACCACATAACCACATATTAAAAACCTTTAAAAACATTTTGGAAATTTCCTGATGCAGATAAATTTGGTTAATTCAGCTCAACAAGTGATAGATACACTTTGTTAACTGTGTCTGTTTGGGGCCGTTCAGTGGCTTTCAGCTCATAGCAACCCAATATGAACCAGACTGGAACACTACCCAGTCCCATGCCATTGTCACACTGGTTCTGAGGACACTGTTGTAGCCACTGTGTTAATCCATCGCTGTGAGAGCCCGCCTCTTTATCGCTGACCGATTTTCCCAAGCAGGATTCCTTTCCGGGGACTGATCTCTCCTGACAATAGGTCCAAAGTCTGAGACAAAGTCTTGCCATCCTCACTTCTAGGGAGCATTCTGACTGTACTTCTTAGATTTGCTTGTTCTTCTCGCAAAGCACAGTAGTTTCCATGTTCGTTGCCAAAACCATCATTCAAATTCTTCTCCAGCCTTCCTTATTCAATGTCCAACTTCAATATGCATTTGAGGCAAATTAAAAAAACCACTGCTTGGGTCAGGTGCACCTTAGTCTTCAAAACTTAGTTGTAGGCAAAAAGTCTTCCTAAAGTAATTATTAATTTAATCACTAAAACATTCCATTGAGCTAACACAGGGCATGATGAAACAATAGCATCAACTATGGTGATATAATTCCTGTAAGTCAACCAAATACAGAATGAAAGAATGTAATTTATCAGATTCTGAATCTACAGTGTTAGACAATTGGGGAAAACTTGCCTTTTGTTAGCAATTTCAGCTTTTTCAACATATTGTACAGTTCCAGAAGCTGATAAATAATACAAGTAGATGTTGGCACTGCATGAAATCAGTAATGATAGATGGTATCTAAATATAATTACTTAGATAACCTCCCACCTACCAAACCAGGAGAGTTAGAAATCTTTTGAAAATTTTATTAGCTATCTTAAGTCACCAGTTACAGGTTATTCTATTTGGACTTTACAAACTAAAAGGTTGTTACTTAAATTCTGCACTACAACATGATATGCCCAACGGAGATGTATATGTAAAATCATTTTTGTGAGATCACACGTGTCCACTTAAAATACCTCAAAAACAAATGCCATGGAATCAGTTCTGACTCACAGCAACCCAACAGGGTTTCGAAGCTATCGATCTTTATGGGAACAAGCATCCTCATCTTTCTTTCGGGGAGTGGCTAATGGATTTGAACTGCAGACCTTGTAGTTAGCAGTTCAACACTTACTTAACAGCACCAAATGATCACATTCACTACCTTAATACCTTTGATAAAAAATTTTACTAAATAATTTTTTTAAGTGTTAGGAGTACAGTATTCAGTAGTCTACTGAATTTGGGGACCACATTCTGTATATAGGTTAAGTAGGAAATAAATTTAATCATATGTAAGCTAGAATTCACATTGGTATGCTCTTTCATCAAACAAATTGCCAAATGGAACAAAACAAACAGGAAGGTCTCTTTTGTCTGACCTCATTTAGGAATGATTTCTTTGCACATCAGTTAGTCTTCTGGAAAATGGGAGCATATTCCTCTGGCAACCATTTTATATTATGCCATTACCTGCCATCTTAAATGGCTATGAAACATAACCTTAATAATTTTTAATGATACAGCAGGGTCGTCATCATCATCATCATGAGCATCCATCACTAAAGCCTAGGGTAATGAAACTGTTCAGTGTCTGCCTTCCCTTTCTTTTTTTCCTTCTACATCATGTGGGGTTGTCACTCTTGTCCCTGATGTGCTGCCTCTGACAATCCCATCTATCTTACTTCTGGGCTGCCTCTCCCCTGCAGTCAGAGGAGACTACCATGATTCTGATATGCTACCTATCACGTTGATTTGCAGTGTGTCTTCTGTTCAAAGGATGGGAGCCAGGATCTCAATTTCCCTATGAACTGCTACGAAAAGGAATCCCGAGCAGGTCAGGGGTGGAGGTGGCGGGGTGAGGATTCTAGAGGTTCCTGCTTCATAGCCATTTCTAATTTTAAATAGTCACCCCTCAGCTCTATCTTAAGAATATGTTTCCTCTATAAACCTCCACTGATATAAACTTATCACGCTTTCTTTTTTAATGACCTCTGAATAGGAATAACTCTGTTTCTGACATGGACCAGGCATGGAGAGAATGAGAATGAGTAGATGTATGTACACCTACATGTCCGCTTTAAATGTCTTGTGAGCCCAAAGAGAACAGATTTGGGTGATTTTTTTTTTGTGCTTTCTTTTTCCTCCTGACTTCTATCCAACATAGGTAATTGGGACTCTATTAAAGTTGGAAAATAGTGATTATGCTTTTATCTTTAAGTGGAAAATCTCATTAACTGAACAAGAATGTTGCACCAACAGCAACAACAAACGACTCACTTTCAATGAATCAATACCGACTCAGAGTGACCGTGAGGACAGGGTAGAACTGCCCCTGTGAGTTTCTGAGACTGCAAGTCTGTATGAGAGCAGAAAGCCCTGTCTTTCTCCTGAGGAGCAACTGGTGGTTTCAAACTGCTGAGCTTGCAGGGAGCAGCCCAATGCATAACCACTTGCCACCAGGGGTCCTACAAAAGTTGTGTGTTAAAATTCCATTTCAGGTATCCTAACCCTAAGAAAATTAGATCTACAGTCGGTTTTCCATTCATACTCAGCAACTTTTATTCCATGGCCGCCGCCACCATATCTATTTTCATTTCAACACTAGAGCTAAAAATACCCAGGAACCTGCATCTCTCAAAGCATGGGCTCTAGGACCAGCACACATAACAGAAAAGCCTAAGAGTACATATTTAAAAGTGGGTCCTGTCATGAAGTAGCTGTATAAGAATCTTTGGGAGGGGGCAAAACAGACTGGTGGGGAGCCATTTATTTTAACAGAGTTTTGGATGAACTGGCTTTTCTTAATAATCATCTGTCTTCTTGATATAGGTGTACTCCTGTTTGGTGAGAGCCAAGGCACATGCATTGCAGCTGTCATCACAGCCTCTACTCACACCATCAACCACCCTCTAGCTGGCCCACGGCACCTGTGGCTTCCAGTCACAATCCGTGCCCCCCAAGCCCCTTCCCCTGGCTTGCATTCAGTGTCTTCCTGTCATTCTAAGACTGTCTAAGGGATTTATTTCACTGTTTCCAATAAGGACCAAAGGGAACATAAGTAGCAGCAAATGTAAACATGTAGTTCGAAAAGCCTCACTCTAAGTTACTCGCTGGAATGTAAATAGCCAGGCTTTTCTCATCTTGGGGGCCACCACTCAACCCCTTCCATTTCCTGCCTATAATTCTCCTCCCTGCACCCTTCTCAGAGAGCGGTCACTGTCCGTAGCTGATAGAGTGTCCCTGGCAGTCTCTTATCTGTGGCCACCCTGTGGGCTCAACTGTAAAGGGGAGGGCCTACGGTCATCTCACAATCCTCGACGGGCAGACACACTGGTTTTCCTCATGGTTCTGAGACGACTCAGAAGCTTTCTCTCCAGATTAACAGAAATATTCAACCCTATTTATTAAAATTTACAATGTTCAGACCCTGTGCTACGATTGGAGCCCCAGTTCTCGCCCGGGAGAAAGCCTCAGTGTGTTCTGGGTGGGTCTGAGTTTTGCAGAACTCAGACCTCCTGGACTGGGGGGCAGCACTGTGTTTTGTTTGCCTTCATTGCTATGGCCAAGTAAATTATCAGTCTAATCCTTCCCAATGTAAGACTTCATTCAGAGTGACCTTGGTGCCGCCAATGCTTGTTTAACACAAATGCTGCTCACATACATATTTTTCAATAATTTCATATTTTAATGTCTTTCTAAAACAGAGCTCAGTGAAACCGAATATAATCAAAAATTGATACAAACATAATATCAGTTAATAAACTAGTCAGTAAAAGAAACTTTTAAAGAAGTATATCTTCCACCAAGCCCCGAGGATGATAATACTGCTCAGAGAAGCCAATGCACAGAGAGGACCATAAGGCTGGCCCCACCACTAGACACAGCATCCTTCACTGACCCATAGTGCTATGGGGGACAACACTAGAGACACAGTGTGGGAATTGTGCCCGATCTGACCCGGTATAACACTACAGGCGCAAAGCAGCAAGGGGAGCAAAGCAATGAATTCCCCGGGGAATACCAAAAATACTTTGGAGCCAGGGCGTGGCACCCCATCAGAAAACACTCCTAAAGGTAAAAAAAAAACAGATGTGGAACTATTTATAGAATTTTCTTTTTTTGTTGTTGGGGTTTTTGTTGCTGTTTTCTTTTGTTGTTTTGTTTTGCTCTGTCTTGTTTTTGTGCTTATTGTCTCTCTGCATGTCTATCTACATAAGAAGGGAGGGATAAACAATCTGGAGGAGAAAACAACAGGGCCAATGGTTCCGAAGGGGACACAGGAGAGGGGGAAGTGGTGGAAAGGAAGGGGGGTGTCAATAAACCCTTGGACAAGGGAACAACAAGTGATCCAAAATTGATGTTGAGGAGGGCATAGGATGCCTGGTGGGGCTTGATTAAGGGCAATTTAGCAGAGAGGACTTACTAAAACCCGAATGAGGACCAAACATGATAGTGGGACAAGAGGAAAATAAAATAAAATAGAAGAAAGAACTAGAAAGCAAAGGACATTTATAGAGGTCTAAATACAGGCATGTACATATGTAAATATATTTATATATAACAATAGGGATAGAGCTATATACATATATTTATATGTTAAGTATTAAGGTAGCAAACAGACATTGAGCCTCTACTCAAGTACTCCCTCAATAAAAGAACACTTTGTTCTAATAACCTGGCATTCTGTGATGCTCATCTTCCCTGACATAATTCCTGAGGACAAAATGGGTACGTAAG